CGGGGGAACTCCCTCCTCTTCCCCCCGTAAGACCTCCAAGAGACTTGACTCCGCCCCCTCTGCCGGTAAAAATGAGAAAGAAGGAACCAGAGGAGGAGAGGGAGAGGGAGAAGGTGGTGATGGGTAGTTCTAATGATGAAGAGGCTTTGATACGAGAGCTGACAGAGTTGGAGAGACTGGTTGATGATAAGGCAACACCTAAACAACTGACATCAGAAGAATTAAGAATAAAGTAAATATCCAGTATATAATATATAGTATACATGTAATCATTATAAAGTATATGTACATGTACATGTGTATTGCTAAAATATTTACAATTAAACTGTGCATGTTAATCTTTAGGTTATGATACTAAATCATAATATGTACATGTACAACTAGTCGTCTGTAGCCAAATCTTTAAGTATATGTACATTTGTTTGCTAAGTTTACTCTTCTCGTAATTTCTCTCCCTCCCTCTCTCTCTCTCCCTCCCTCCCTCTTTCTCCCTCTCCCTCCCTTTCCCTCCCTCTCCCTCCCTCTCCCTCCCTCCCTCTCCCTTGCTCCCTCTCCCTCCCTCCCCAGGGAAGCCTCTGAAGTAAGGAGGAGACTGAGAGAAGAGAGAGCTACAAGGTTACAAGCTAAAGTCCAGCTGATGCAAGAGAATCTCCGCACACAAGAAACTCGTGAATACACTGTACCTTTATTATTAGTGGGTGTGGCTTTAATAGTAGTTAGTTACTCTGTGTATTACTATTTGACTAAGAGTTAATCACTTGTGGGTGTGGTTATTAATAGTTATAATGGTTAATTAACTAGTTATATGGGTGGTTACTATTAATATCTTATCTTTTACTATACTGCACTATTTGAATAAAATAATAATTTAATAATAACATTGATTATTTTGATGTGGTTTGGCGGGAGTATCGATATTATTTTAGCATTAACTTTAATAAGCTGGGTAGCCCCTTGTTCTCCTTACTGTATAAAGATAAAAATTTCTGGAAAAAATTGTACATTATACACATGTACATAATGGTACTGTAGTTGACTATAAATAATCTTAAATCTTCAATAGTTCAAAGAACTCTTATTGGTAATCTTTGACTAAGTCATAAATTAATGGATTTTTAGCTGTATAATAACCGTTATTCACTACCATACAGTAATCAGTAGGTGCTTATTAATGCTGTTCAGTCACTAGTCACTGATATTCACTGCTTAATGCTTACTGATTAGTGCTTAACACTTAGTGACAGTTACTGCTTATCTATTGTATACTAAAAAAGACTATCAAACAGTTTATTACAACTATATAATTTCTCTTTCTTTTTGAAAAATACCCAAGTTCATTTATCTAATGCAGAAGATGAACATCGTTCTCATTTTTTGACAAGAGTTATTAGTAATAATTATTTTAATTTACTACCATACAGTAATCAGTAGGTGCTTATTAATGCTGTTCAGTGATATTCACTGCTAATCACCAGTTGATTAGTGCTCAACACTTAATGACAGTTACTGCATCTCTACTGTGTATATAAAGTAAAGAATACTGAACAGTTTTTGGTGCAAATCTCTTTCTCTTGCTCTTTACAAAATAATTCGTTCATTTCTCTGCTACAAAAGATGAATGCCATTCTTTTTCTTTTTTTGCTATTCAAAGTAGCATGTGCAAAATTGGAGATACCAGATGCTGA